TTCTTTCTTTGCTTCGCAAGGAGCGTCCTTGGTGATAATGTATATTAAATCATTACTAAAAAAATGTAATTTAGATATTATAGTTACTAAAAACCAGTTAAAATATGATACGAGATGACAAAAACTACAGGCAACATTATTGGAGCTATTATTTTGGGTGGAAAAATCCAAGGTAATATTGTACCTTCACCGTGGATACAATATATTAATTTTTTTTGAATTTGTTATACCGTTTAAAAGACTTAAATTTTCAATATTCCTGTGTGGGAATTGAGACTCATACAATCATTTTATTTAAAGCAGTTCTACATTCTTTGTGGCTCATATTGATGTATATGAATTTTGGTGTGAAGAGTAATTTAAAAAACAATAATTATTATTTTTAGGTAAACGGTAAATATTAGTAGAGGATATTGAAAAATTGTAGACGTGGGTACAGGACAATGTTTTTGGGTCACCCAGTATATATATATATATATATATATATATATATATATATATATATATGTGTGTGTATGTGTGTCTAAGATTATATAAGAATGACTATCCGCTTCCTAGTTTATATACTCTCGCACTATTTCTTTAGTCATGTTGGCAACATTGCTCCGTGACTTCACTCCGTTCACCTGTCAAACTGTCAAACTGTCAACAAGTGTTGTGTGGTGGGTGTACACCGAGGCGAATGCCAGTCGGCTCGGCAATCGTCTTTGTATTCGTATTTCTGCTTATCCCATACGAATCTTATACGGCTATTATTTAAATAACGTTCGATTAATGCGAGCGCTTCCAGTGTGTGTGCACCATTCACCGATGGCACAGCCTGTCGTTGTTATTATTGCACAATTGTAGGCGCGCGTTTTGTTTTGACAAACGATGGGCGATTCGGCCAAGCAGGTCGAAGCCGAAAAATCGGCGTTGTTGTTGGAAGAGACATTTTATATACAGTCGAAGAAAAACACGGTTTTTAAAGTGAGGTTAACGGAGAAAGGGTTGAGTTTGAGAAAGGAGTGCAATGGGGCTACCACCAAGGAGCAGACTATATGTCTGGATGACATTATCGGGTGCAAGTGCATGCGGAGCAGACGCCGCAGGAATGTAGGAGGATCTTGTGTTTGTTCGAGGTCCCCGAAGTCCTCAGACTCTTTAAAAGTTGTCGATGAAAACTCTTTAGACGGGGACGAGTCCGATTCGAGTGCTTATTTATACATTTATGCTTATACATTAAAAAGACGAAAACGTGGTCTGGCTAACACCAGTAGGGAACGTACTTCGATAACCTTAAGGTTCAGGTCTTTCGATAAGTACGAGGATAATAATAAAGAGGCACAGAAATGGAGATACGCTCTGAAATGTTTAGTGCGCGGTATGAGCCCTACAATGGACGTTATAGACCCCATCGATACGAGAAAAGTGCTCATTTTGTTGAACCCTAAATCGGGCCCTGGAAAGGCCAGGGAGTTCTTCCAGAAGAGGGTTGCTCCGGTCCTGGCTGAAGCAGAGGTCAGTTAATAAAATCTAAATAATTCTAAATAATCTAAATATTTATTATTGAGTCTGTATATTTTAAAATTATACATGGAAATCATGAAATTGACTAATGTAAACATAAAACTAGTTATAAGTGGCATTTTGCCTTAAGGCAAGTTGTATGAACTTCCCGAAATGTGTAATAATTGATTTAACCCCCGAAATTGAGATTTAGATATTTAGATTAATAAATTTTCAACTGCACGATGTAGTCCTGATATTATTTAATGACTCAAATTAATGATAACATTTTTTACACAACTAGAGAATTTTGGTAAACTTATTTTTCCGCTGATTCCAAAAATTGGATTTTAAAATTTGTGATATTAAAATTTTGACTCATCAATTCACAAAATCGACTTTCGACACAAATTTTGATTATACTATTTTTTCAAACTCTGACGAATTTTTAAAATTAAACTACTTGCCGAAGGACCGTAAAATTGCAGTATGTTCTATAAGACCATGATATCTATCAACATAAAGTATTTCATCGAAAAAATTTCAACAGTTAATTACGAAGAAACGACTGGACCGATTTTTGTCCAAAACTAATCCGCACGATTCCCAAATATCATCTTTAATAGTTCGAATAATTTTTGAATTTTTTAAAAATTGAGTCAGAATTTTTGACTGAAGCATGGACAAATTTTTATCTCTTTTCTCTTAATTACTAAGAAACGGCTCGGCCGATCGTCGTACAAAACTGATAAATAATAGTCCTCATCGAGGTACATCGAATAGCTTTTAAATTTTTAGAATCGGTTCAGGCGTTTTTGAGAGAACGTCGATTTAAATAAAAAATCTGTTCACACACATACTTTTTCCAAAGTTAGTCCCATTCGATTCAGAATGGCTTGAAACGTCAAGAAAACATAAAATTAGCAAATGGGATTTTTTTTATGAAAACATGAACTTCTCCTTGGGGAAGTTAATAATAATAATCAACTCAGTATATATTGCTTATTTTGCTAGTCTACCTTTTGATGTATCATTTTACATTTTTTATCAATATTGTTTTTTGTAAAAATATCTATTTCTCAAATTTTTCTTGAAGTAAATCAATAGGAAATTTAAAAATTGCAATTAAGACACTCACTCGACAGGTCTCCTTTTGTTAAATCATTTTTTGTCAAAATATTTAAATTAATTGAAAATTCAAAAATTTCCAGTCAGTTTTGTTTTAAAAACGAACAACATTTTTTGTACTAAAGTCTTTCTAGTTTTTCTTGAAATAAATTAATTGAAAATTTCAAAAAATGCTTTTAAGACTATCTATTATAATAAACTATCCTTTAACTGGTGATGGAAAAGATGCTGAATAAATACATAAAATAATTTAAAAGTGGAAGTATTTAAAGCAATAACACCAATTTTTAGAGTGCTTTATTATAAAAAAAACATATAAATATTAAATGGTTTTAAATGATTTGGTAAATATAAAAAACAAAAATACGTTTCCAAATTGAAAATAACCCATTTGGGGATGCAATATGAATCGGCAATTACAAGAATCACATAGGAATCTAACATGAATCCAATTGGATTTTTTTCCCTCCTTTTGTATATATATGCCACTTTGCATTTTATTATTATTATTATATTATTATTATCTTTTCATTACTAATATTATTATTTTATTTTATTTATTATTATTCTTCACTTATTATTTTATTCCACTTTTTTGCTTTTCTAGTATTGTTCTTCACAAATTTTATTTATTTTATTTAAAAAATTTATTATTATTATTATTTGTTTTTATTTTATATTAAATCATCATCATACGAATATTATTTTAATGAAAATACTATCCTTTATTTTACTAGATGTTATATTATTTAGCAGTTGCAACAAATATTGTAATTAAAAAAAAAGAAATTTGCATTTTATAGAATTTTGTTCATTTTCCGTTGTTTTAATTAGAAATCTTTTTTTTACTAAATATTTGAAACATTAGGTGATCGTACATACGTAATTTATACTTATAAAAATAACTAAAAATTTGTTAAACAAAATACTTATATTGTAAAAATCATTATAAATTAACTAAAAATAATAAACAATAAATGAATTATGATATATTATGAGCCTTGTTATAATGATATTTTTGTACTGACGGCTTGTAAAATAATTAAATAAATAATTGGCCAGAGGAAAATCTTGGATTTTTTAGAAGCAATATTTGTCTCAAAAAGTCTTGACTGACAATATTATTTATTGTAAATATATTTTAGAACTAGAATTATTTTTTCAAACCTTATACATACACATACAATTTACTACTAAAGATAGATAGATTTCTTACTAAAGTTTTAATTATAAAGTATATTTTTCAGATTTTTATAAAAAGATAAAAAAATTCAACTCAATTACTCAGTAATTCTGATTTAAAAAATTGCTTTCGGATTTTTATAATGTCCATATAATATTTATGTTAAAATTTGATTGAAAAAATTAATAAAAATATGCTTTTTTGGGTATAATACAAAAAAATTATTATATAATAAATTTAAAAAAAAGTATATATAATATTTTTACTAGTTTGTTGTGATATTATTGCGTTGTTTTTAATAATACTTTGAGTACACATAATTTTGGCAATGTGCCAACAAGTTGTAATATACTGGCTACTTTTTTAATCAGTGAAATGTTATTCATGTTACTATTTGTAAATCATTTACATTAAGATTTACTTTATTTTTTTTTAACCTAATATTAATTTTCTTCTTCGAAACTTTCAATTAACTTTGCAATTGATTTAAATTGCAAAATGTATTAATCGTACTAAAAAACAGGATTTGTATTTAATTCTACGGATGCTAAGTTCTCTCAAAACTGCCATTTTTTCTACATTTAGCTCTGTTTTCGAAATGGCTGGACCTGTCTTTGCCAAAAACTAATAACCAATTCTCCGAATCATTACAAATTGAATGTGTTTTGACTTATTCAAATCGGATGCTCCGTTCTCTCAAAAACTCAATTTCTATTTTCTGCGCTCTCTGCTCCGTATCTCCGAAACGGCTGGACCTGCCTTTGCCAAAGACTAATCAGCACATCTCCCTATCAATAGAAATCGAATGTTTTTCGAATGTGAACGACAAATTGTATCCATACATACATACACACACATACATCAAATTTTTCTAAGATATGCCAAAATGTTCAGCAACCTCTAAAACGTAATAAAGATATATAAAAATTTTCATTTTCGATTTTTGGATGATTGCAATATATTACCCTAACGGTTATATGTTCAGACGAAGAAAAAAATCTTTCATTTTATTTTTTTAAATATTTAATTTTAAATTGATATAAGAGATTTTCGTTCTATCTTGATTTCTGGATCGGTTTTTGATAATGTTATCAGATGCCATTGCAAAGGTCATTCAATGTGAACGTCTTATCGATGTTTTGACTAAACTTTTTTGATTTTCTTATCTCGAAATGTATTATATTACACCTTTGTTGTTTTTCAAAAAAAATATTTGATATAACTAAGTATTGAATTTATTGTTAAGATGTTTATATATAAACATCTCAACAATTAATTGAAATATATTTCATTTCATTTTGATATTATATATCACGTTAAGATAAGTGGTTAGGTAAATTTTCACTATTTTTTGGCCATGAATTATAAGAAATTTAACTCTTGTTCAGTTCTCTTGCTAATTACTTATTCACCACTATCGATTATCTCGTCTAAATTAAAATTCGTAATATCAACAAAAGTACTTTTGTCTGCCATCTCTATGAAATTTTAATATTTCAATTTATCATAGTTTCCTCGATTATATGTTGCGGGTTTGGATAATTACAGTTGGATGGTTTGTTACTTTAAAACTACTTATAAATTCTATTACAAAAGTTCGACTTCAATGTAAACTGTAAACGATGGTAATTTATAAGTTGCTACTGGTCAGGTCGACATTTTGGCATTTTAACAAGACTTTTTCAGGGTCAGTACCGAATTTTATTATTGATTTTGTCTAAATAGTAATGGACTGAGTCTAGGGTTGCAATTTATTTGGGAGATGGAAATTTGTTATTATTAGTTTATCAACATTTTTGAAGTTATTCTATAGAAATGTTCTGAAGAGTCTGAAAATATTCTGGAATTGCGGATATGTTCTGGATTGTTCGGATATATTTTGGATAGTCCCGGATTTATTCAGGATAGTCTGAGAATGTTCAGGACAGTCTGAAGATGTTCCGGACAGTCTGAGGATGTTCAGAACAGTCTGGAAAGCTTCAGGATCGTTTGAGAATGTTCAGGATAGTCTGGGAATGTTCAGGACAGCCTGGGAATGTTCAGGATAGTTTGAGAATGTTCAGGATAGTTTGAGAATATTCAAGACAGTATGGGAATGTTCAGGATAGTCCGGGAATGTTCAGGACAGTCCGGGAATGTTCAGGACAGTCTGGAAATGTTCAGGACGGTCTGGGAATGTTCAGGATAGTCTGAGAATGTTCAGAACAGTCTGTGAATATTTAGGACAGTCTGGGAATGTTCAGGACAGTCTGGGAATGTTCAGGACAGTCTGGGAATGTTCAGGACAGTCTGGGAATGTTCAGGACAGTCTGAGAATGTTCAGGACAGTCTGGGAATGTTCAGGACAGTATGGGAATGTTCAGGACAGTCCGGGAATGTTCAGGACAGTCTGGGAATGTTCAGGACGGTCTTGGAAATGTTCAGAACAGTCTTGGAAATGTTCAGGACAGCCTAGATTTGGGATACAGATATTCTGGAAGTGTTCTGGGTACTCTGGTAGTGTTCTGGGTACTCTGAAAATGTCCTGGATACTCTGGAAATGTCCCGGGAACTCCGGAAATGTCCCGGGAACTCCGGAAATGTCCCGGGAACTCCGGAAATGTCCCGGGAACTCCGGAAATGTCCCGGGAACTCCGAAAATGTCCTGGGAACTCCAGAACTGTTCTCGTTCAAGATTAGTTTGAAAAAATTCTGGATATGTCTTGATCATTTAATGCCCTGAAATGCCTAAAAATATTTTGGATTTTTTGAAAATATTCAGTTTTTTTTTAAATCATTTTGGATTGTCTGAAAAGTTCTGGATTGTTTGAGAATGTTCTAAATAGCCAGGAAATGGTTCAGATATTCTGGAAACGTTCTAGATATTTTGAAAGCGTTTCAAACCGTCTGAAAATATAATAGATAATGTGATTTTTTTTGGATAGCCTGCAACTTTTCTGGATAGTCTGAAAATGTTCTAGATGGTCTAAAAAAGTTGCAAATCGTCTAAAAATATCCTAAATAGTTTGAAAATGATACTACCATTTTTCTAAGCGTTCTAAAGAGTCTGTAAATGTTCTGGGTAGTGTGGAAATGTTCTAGATAGTCTGAAAAAGTTGTGGATAGTCTGAAAATATACTAAATTGTGTGAAAAAAATTGGGCCTTCTGAAAATGTGGTAAATAGTCTGAACATGTTGCTAGCTGTCTGCAAATAATCGTCTGGAAATTTTGGATATCGTCTGAAAACGTTGGAAATCGCCCAAAAGAGTTGCAAATTGTGTAAAATGTTACAAATTCAAAACTTTGAAACGCAACTATTATTCTTTTATTTATTTTTATGAACTACAGAATCGCAAAATTCAAGAAATGTATTTTGAATGATTTCTAATTTAGCTACTTAAATATGCAATACGTTTTATATCAATAATTCTTACGATAATGCTCAGTATTAAAGTATAAATATAATATCTATACTAGTGGGGTGTATGGCATCGTGCCTTAAGGCAAATTGCTGGAACTTCCCGTACCGTAACGAAATGTTCGAGGAATACTGAATGTTCTCAAATAGATCATTATAAATATTGTAACATTGTCTAATATTTATAAGAATTATATAAACTGAATTGCAAAGTTGAAATTATTTGTTTAAAGTATATTAGAACTTTAGTCAGAATTAAAAATAAAATCTGAATTATTTTCGATACACAAAAAAACTAAAAAATTAATTTTCTATTTTCTGCACTCTTTACTCCGTATATCCGAAACGGTTGGACCTGCCTTCGCCAAAAACTAATCAGCTCTTTTCCCTATCAATAGGAATCGAATGCGCCCGAAAACGTGACTGGAAATTTGTATCCATACATACATACACACACACACATCAATTTTTTCTGAAGTATGCTAAAACGTTCAGAAACCTTCAAAACGTCGAGAAGTGTAAAAATTTTCAATTTCGATTTTCGGCCCATTACAATAACTTACCCTACGGGAAGTTAATAAGTATCATCAGTAAACTGGGGAGTAAATCAGTAAACATATTATTTAACCCCTTCGCTTACAAAGACGCCTCAGAGGCGTTCAAAGATTATCGGCCCAAACACAAATATGACGCCTCAGAGGCGTCGCAAGGTTATCGGCCCAAACACGAATAGGACGCCTTAGAGTCGTCGTAAGTCTACCGGACGAAACATAAATAAAACCTTTCCGAAACTTGGTGAAGCATATACATACATCGTTTGTAAGAAGTTTTTTAAAAAAATACACATTATAATGTCTTCAAGAGAAAATTTGTGATGAATTACATAGCAGTGATGACTTTGCTACCAGTAGTACTGACAGTAGTAGTGACATACTTTTCGCACAAATATATAAATTTATAATTTTATGTATAAATTTATATATTTGTAATAATCAATTCTCAGTTTTATTTAGGAATCAATGTAATTATTTATCAAACATCTTGCAAAGTTAATTGTACCGAGCACGTGTATACACAAACTACAGGAATTGCATGATTTGTACAGTTTCGAACGCCCAGCAAAGTCGTTTAAGTACTATGGAATGGTATACTATGAACTTCTCAGATCTTTATTAACATTTCTTTACAACTACTTGTCCCTACCACAAATACTTTTCTATAACATTGTATGACATCGCCTAATTAAAACAATTCTTTCCCCAGATACCCTACGACCTGCACGTGACCCGCCGGGCAAACGACGCCCGCGACCTGATCCGCCGCCGCTTCTTGAACTCGAACAACCGGCAGCAGTGGCGGTGCATCGTCGCCGTCGGCGGGGACGGCCTCTGCTACGAGGTCGTCAACGGGATGTTCGAGAGGGAGGACTGGCGGGACGCCGCCAATGCGGTCCCGTTGGCGATCATACCGTGCGGCAGCGGCAACGGACTGGCCAGGACTATATGCCACTTGTACGAGTAAGTAGAAAAATAATAAAAGTAATAATTGATCATGGTCAGTGGCGTCGGAACCGCGTGGGCTGTGTGGGCTTGAGCCCACGCATGAATTTTGATGGGGGGGCTCAGCCCGCCCATCAATTTCAAAAAATTATATGGGCTAATATCTCTAAAAAAACGAGCCCACCCATCAAAAATTTGGTTCCGACGCCACTGATAATGGTAATTGATTGATATTAGTATTGTGTTAATAGTGTGTTAAGTTTACACACTATAAGCGGGGCGGGTAGAAATACCCGTCTCGAAGATTCGTGCAGGTATCTAGTGTGACATTAACGTTATAATCAGTCTACATATGTTATTGAAAGAGTTAGTTGATAGTTTTTGTTTCGATTCAATCGATTTAGATCGAAGGGCCTTGATTGAGATGCATGGTTGATTGATTTGTTTCCAAGTGGAAAATAGCCCTTGCCCGGCAAAGCTGCACCAATAATATAATAATATATTAATATAATAATATATTAATATAATAATATATTAATATAATAATATATTAATATAATAATATATTAATATAATAATATATTAATATAATAATATATTAATATATTAATATAATAATATATTAATATAATAATAATACAATATAATAATAATGCAATATAATAATAATACAATAATATAATAGGTCAGCCCTATTAGATTAATTCTAATAAAAAAATATCATATTCTTATATTCTGTCCTCATCTTATATGAAAAATATTCGTAGCTTGTCACTGTCGTGAAGTTTAATAAAAATTTTAGTATTCAAATATAATTATTTTTTTTGTTATTATTAAAAAATAAATTTAAAAAAAGTTATTTTGCATCGGCCGGGAATCGAACCCGGGCCGCCCGCGTGGCAGGCGAGCATTCTACCACTGAACCACCGATGCTTCGATAGAAAATGTTAGTTTATTACATGTACTGCTGATTCGTTGCTATGAATAAATGATAACTTTCACAGCAGCAAACTATAATGATGCATGGTATCGTATCGTAAGGCAAATTGCTGGAACTTCCCATATAGCAATTTATGATTTTTAAAAGCTTTTTGAAAATTTTCAAACTATTAAATTTTTTCGATAATTTTAAAAAATATTTTTCTTGGGAAAATCGATCTTTTTGAAGATCTTTAATTTTTTTTAAATTTTAGACTGTTTTTAATTTTCTTTTTTTTACCTTAGAAAGTTTTCAAAACGTTTGGCAAATTCAAATTTCTCAACTTCTTTTGACATTCGACATATATAAAATTTTGGAATGATTAATATTTTTGAAAAATCGACCTTCTTGAAGATCTTTAAATTTTTTAAAAAATTTGAAATTTTTTGTGAATTTTGAATATTTTTGAAATTTCGGACTTTTTTTAGTTTTCGATTTTTTTTGACGTTTGATAAATTCAAATTTTGGAATGGCTGGATCTACATTTGCCAAAAATCAATCCTCATTTCATTGGTAATCGAATGTTTTTTGAATGACTCAAATAGGTTGATCAGCTCTCTCGAAATCGTCGACGAAAAATTATAGCCGCACATACATACAGACACACAGCCACATACACATACATCCATTGTTCATGAGGTCTTGAAACTTCAAATGCATGGTATCGTGTTCTAAGGCAAATTGCTAGAACTTCTCATACGAAATTTTTAAAAAAATTACATTTTATTCGTGAATTTTTATTTTATTTGAACATATTTGACAATTTTGAAAACGTTTGACAAATTCAAAATTTTGATTTTTTTTTGAAAATTTTGATTTAACATTTTACAAATTTAAAATTTTGGAATCATTAAAATTTTTAAAAAATACGACTTTATTAATGATTTGTAAATTTTTTGAAAAATCGGATTTTTTTAAAAATTATAACCTTCTTGTAAAGATTGAATTTTTTTTTTTAAAAAAAACGACCCTTTTGAAGATTTTGAAATTTTGAATAATTTTGAAGTTTTTGGGTTTTTCAATTTTTTTTTAAAGCATGTGTGAAAATGTTTTACAAATTCAAAGTTTTTTTTTTTTTGAAAACTTCGATTTTTTGACATTCGACAAATTTAAAGTTTTGGAAACATTAAAATTTTTGGAAGAACCTTTTTAAAGATTTTTAAATTTTTCGAGAAATCTAAATTGTTTTGATAACTTTATTAATTTTTGAACTTTTAGACTTTTTTAGATTTGATATTTTAACATTTTTGTTAATTTTGAATACATTTTACAAATTCGAAGTTTGAAACGGCTGGACCTACATTTGCCAAAAATTAATCAACATTTCAATAGGAATCGAATGTTTTTTCGAATGTCTCAAATAGGTTGATCCGTGCTCTCGAAATCGTCGACAAAAAATTATATCCGCACACAGCGACATATACATACATGAGGTCTTGAAACGTAAAAATATGCAAAAAAAACATTTTCAATTTTGTTGCGATTACTAATACTTACTATACGGGAAGTTAATAAAAAGTAGAAACATATCAGTAACTAATTTAAATGTTAATATTATAATTATTAAAACTACAATCTTTGTTTTTTAGTTCTCAAGAATATACATATCTATTTATTTATTAGTCATAATGCAGTTTATAGAGTGTAAACAATGACATCATATTAACGATGATATGAATTGTAAACAGAGTTATAAAAATAAAAAGTCACGTGGATCATAATTATAGAGATGAAATTAATTCTTATCCAAATAATATTTTGAGATTTATTTTTATAATATATAATTGTGTGGAGGTGCTGGTTACCTTTAAAAATAAATTTAGGAAAAAGGGTCAAAAAAGGATCCAAATCTTTAGAAGAAGGTATTAACATCACCAAGTATCATCAAGTGTCTTTTCTATGAATTTTAAGATCCTGATGGTTCTCTCTATGCTGCCAATTGTTATTCATTGACATTTAAGATTAGTTCGACATCACCATTGTCAGAATCTTTATTTTACGAATCAATAAATATTTATTGTCTCTATCGTATTTACGTCTCTATTACTAAACAATTCACACTAAAGTTGGTGTTTATTTGCATCAGAATTTCGGAATCGCTTTTTTTGCGCAATCGACCTTTACAACAAATGTATTTATTATCTTCAAACGCGCAATAGAAATCCATTATCTACACAATTTACATACACTATTTCGTGGATGGCGGAGCACAACGACTGTTTATATTGTTATTGTATTGATGCTCAATTTATAACTAGAGGACTAGTAAAATTTATTAGTAGACTCTGAAATTAGGTGCGTGGTGTCAAGGCGTAATCTTTCCTAATCCGAAAACGAAAAAATTTTTTTTTCCTAACTTCTGATTCTAATTCTACGCTTTTTAGTTTTTTAATTTGAAATTTGGTATTTTTACTTATTTTATTTTATTGTTCTTTTATATTGTTGGACCTCTAAATATGTTGGTAGTCACAAAATTGTCATATACCTACTCCTATGGTGTTAAATTTTGCTTAAATTCTTGATACTGTCAACGTCTGAATACTAACTCCAAACAACACAAATATCTAATTGACATTAGTTTGCCTAATTTATTTTTAAGTGCAACTTTAGACTGAACATTCAACATTGTACGCAAAATTGGCTGTAAAGATTGCGATGCAATTTATGTAGGTGGAATAGGACAGCATCTAATAAAATCTCTGAAACAACATTGCAACAATTCCAAAAATAACTAGTGGTGCATGGCATCGTGCCTTAAGGCAAATTGCTGGAAAATTAAAATTTTTGACAAAGCCTTACAATTTTTAAAAACTTTGAAAAAATGAGTTATTGACAATTTTGAAATTTTTGAAAGAAATGACTTCTTTGAAAAATTTAATCTTCTTTAGATTTTGATTTTTTTTAAATCTTTTGAACAATTTTCAAAGTAATGGGTTGATCTGTATTGCAAAAATCGTGAACGAAAATTTTCATCCGCACACACACTCACACATATATTCATTTTTTAAGCTATGCCCAAACGTTTAGAAACCTTTAAAACGTGAAAATACATAAAAAATTTCATTTTTGCGAAAAATCAAAATCAAACTATGGTCACTGATAATATAAAAAAATATAATCCACGTTGCTGCAGTACTATATCATGAGTCGAATACGTCTCAGAGACGCTTTGCAGAATCATACTTCATTCTAATGTCTAAAAATAGTATGAACTAGTAAAAATTATTAAATAATATTAAAACAATTCTAAACCATTCCGATAAGATTATTTATTTTTTTCCTAAAATTTCACTTACCACTTGACTGTAATATTTGAAAACAAAATTGAGTAAAACAAAATATAATTTCAGACAAACTTAATCTAAATGACAATGTACACTTATATATAAAATTCTTCTGTACGGGTGTATGATTTGATACTTCTCCTGAACGGTTATTCTGATTTTGATAATTATTTTTAGAGTTTGTCAAAGAAAATTTTCAAGATATAATGAACAATAAAACTATAGTAATATTGTAGAAATAAATGGAAAAAATTACAAAAAAACACTTATCATTGTTTGACATTGAAAACATTTGAACTGTCACCTGCTAGAATGTTTTTCTTTGAATTTTTCATACTGCTTATGCTAAGACCATAAACGAATCACAAAGGCAAGACATTAAATAGGGCATTAAAAAGTATTATATAGGATAGGATATTAAAAAAATAGGAATATTTGAATTGTAGACGTGACAACAGAACAGCGTCTGTCGGGTCATCTAGTATATATATATATATATATATATATATATATATATATATATATATATCCATTTCTAATGGATTACGAAATTCGTTGATTGTTCGATTGCAAATGCGCGATAAGATAAAAACTAATGTACTTTACGAAACAATATATGATGTTCAATAGTCATTGTTAAATATTGCCCATGTGTGAATTGAAGCATCTGATATTGTTGAAGAGCTCGTATACACTTTTTTTTTCTTTTTGACATCCTGTTTTTTGGTATTTCAAAACAATAACATTTATACGAA